TACTGTATGAAGAGTAAAATAATATTAGCCTTGCAGGACCGAGTAGTGGAACCGGCATTGTTCAAAACCTTTGGGATTTGATGAAAAGGAACCTGCCTCGAATGATTGGGATACATGACTAGAGCCTGTTCAGGGCAAACGTGAGACTATAACTCATTGATATTTAGCAACTGGCAACTAGTTCTAGAGACGGTCATTGATACGTGCTGGATGGTCAACGGAGAATATTGGAGCAGATATTACTCCGTAGAACAGTTCTCATAAATGAATTAGGTCGGTACCTCTATCCAAGTATCCATGCGTGGTAGGTATGCAGGATAGGAGCCTTCCATCGTAGTGCCGAAGTCAACGGGTATTACGAATACATCAACCGTCATGCTCCTACCTTAGCGTTGTCATTGAGGTTGCAAGGTTGAAAGCTCAAAGATCCTAGGTATCTACAGGACGAAATTGCTCAGGTACCTTGCGGTATGTTCTCCGTATAGAGTTCTGTATAGGAGATTTACGGAGTTCAAGATGACACCAATAATCCACGATCGATGATAATAATAGATAGATAGATAGCACTCTCACTACATCATCTGCCTAAGTCATGGAAGCTCTAATAATTTCAGTAAAGCGAGATAGTGCAAAATATCTACATAAATCGGTACGACTACCTAGGATGTGCTCTGTCCGTAATCTGTAATGGGTTGACCCTTTAATCATATTGGTTGCTTGCCCAGACCCCAGGGTACTTTTCCATCTTTGCGACGGATTTACCCTCACAGAGGCTAATCAGTGCCACTATGGTAAGCCTTGTAACAGTCCCCAGAGCTAGACCCAGCCTCGAGGGCTTGATAAAAAGCATGGGATATCCTAAAATGGTAAAGTAGCTTTAACGGGCTCCAATCCGATCTCATCAACTGAAAGTGATCCAGACACGTGCATGACCACCCGACGCGTCGAAACCACCAAAACAATCCCCAATCAGTGACGCGAGCCAGATGGGGAGAAGTACTAATGAACCAGAGAAGATCCTCTGTGTCCTAGCTAGCAACTCCCTTCCTAAGGTAGTGAAGATCATGATCCTATGAATCATTGCGCCATTTATCTCTCTGCACCCCATCCCTGAAGACGCGTTCTACATTTCATATAACCAAACAGACCTCGCTAACTACGCGTACGAGAGACTTCAACGATTATTGATTATACACAATAATCCCACATCATTTTAAAACAAGTAACTCCGTGCACTCCTTTGTGCAAGGAAAAAAGCCTTGTCCTTCCGTCTGTTTTTCTTCATCTCGCCGCATCTGAAGTGTCTGGATCCGATACAACACAACGATGCCACGTCCACCAACAAAGCGCAATCGTCTCACATCGCGACGTGTCCGGGCTTCGCCCAAGGTATCTCAGAAAACCAAGGATCCCGAAACCAAGAGTACTGCCAACAATTCAGGACCACTACAGGGAACCGAGAATGACAAGAGGCTGGAGGCACAGCCGGCACTTAGTGTCGATGATATCAAATTCGCACGACAATTGAGGGGTCAGACACCCGTGACCAAGAAGCAAGAACAGGCAATTGAGTCCTCGCCTATGGGGGAACGTGGAGCTACGGGCAGCCGGCCACCCACGAGAGCTCGAGGCTATTCATCTACGCTATCAGTTGGCAGACGAGGGGCTGATATGAGCTCCAAAATACCTGGCACTCCAGGATTCGAGACTTCGATATTGAGCAATTTTAGGAGACGACCTCGGCAAGCTAGTATTCTCCAGATGATGCAGGCAGATGACGGATCTTCTGATTTTGGAGACCTTGACGATGATGATTTTCTTGGTGGACTGAGCCCAGAGGATGAGTCAACTCCCCTGAATGTTTCCAGAGGAAAATCCCTCGTTATTAGACATGCATCTTCCTCGCCTCTTTCCGACCGTTCGCACCCGTCCAGCGGAGGATCGCGCAAGCGCAAGCGCGCCGGGGAGGAGCTTCAAGTTCCTCAGTCACCTTTGGACGTCGTGGAAGACTCACTTGCTGGCTCAATAAGCCCTGGGGTTGGTGATGAAGAGCGTGGCACCCCTCGTGAGGCTTCACACCACTTGGCAAACTCGAAAGTATTGAATCGGACGGTGGCATCACCGTTGAGCAGCAGCCCAGTGTCAAGTCCCCAGCGTAGCCACTCAACGTTGATGGCTGCCGAACCACCCGCAGACTCGCTAGAGCATACGAAAGGCCGTAACACAGGAGAATTGAGTGGAAAGCTCACTGTGTCCACCGCAAGTCTACAAGACAGATTGCTTCCTCGGCGACGTCGTAAACATCGCAGACACCATGGAGTACCCGATCATGTACTTCTTGATGACGAAAGCGAAGAGKACTATTCTATCGACCAGGATGAAGATGAGTTGTCATACTTGCCCACTAGGGTGCCAGCGCGAGCACAACAACGGCGAAAGGACAAGCCAAAGCCACTGGAGATTGTTCCCACCAAGCACAGGAAGCAAGGTGCAGTCACAGCTCTAAATGGTGAAGCCATGAGTCCAACTAAGTCTTCTGCACATACGAACTTAGCTGCGATGAAGGGCTCGAGGCAAAAGAGAGCTGATGCTCCACAAAGAAATCAGACTGCTGATGTCGACAAGGAGAACCAAGCAATCGAGTTGTCCTCGCCTCTGTCCTCACCACTCGACACGGATGCATTCGATCTAGAATCATCGCCGGTGCCAATACCAGCTAATAATTACCTGAGCGAGGAGCTCAGATTGCAAGCCAAGAAATTTGAGGAGGTTGACAGATGGGAGATGGAATTTGAGGATGTGGTAACGTCAGGCAGTCAAACCAGCCCATGCAGGTGAATGTATAGCTTGTCTATCAGAACGGTGAATAGCTCTGTTGCTCTTATGAAAGATATTGCATGAAGATATACAATAGACCCGATAGTCTACCTAATGTCTCGACCACGGAATACTGGTTCTCAAATTATTGCCCGTTCTGTACTCGATAACAGGGTTACTCCGACCTTCGAATTACGATTTGGATAGTACCTCATTCGGAGAGCCTATACCGACGTTAACCGGCCTGGGCCCCGCATAGCAAGACCCCGCAACAGCCGATTAGCGAGCAGGTTTGAGATTCAATTCTGATATGGGCCACGTCCCACCGGAGAGATATATAGGACAAAGGCTTCAGTTCTTTCTCACTTGTTTTATTAACTAGCGTCAAAGCGTGATGGCTACGGTAGATACAATTCTCGCGGGCAAGTATCCGGCGAAAGCGCATGCGCGCCGTGTGGCCGAACGTCTCCAGTCTCTCAGAAATGGTTGTCCTGGAATCGTCTACCTGGAGGCTCAGAAAACTCGATTGATTGAAGACAATGACGAGCCAGTTCCTTTTAGGTACGAAATCACGTTTTATTCTGACCTCCGCAGCAGTTGAAAAGATAGACCTGACATATCGCATTCAATATTAGACAACGCCGACCATTCTTCTACCTATCCGGATGTCTGTTACCGGACTCTTCTCTGGTCTACGATATGAGTGCGGACCAACTTACTCTGTTCATTCCTCCAGTTGACCCAGAGGATGTGATCTGGTCCGGTCTTCCCATGTCTACCGAGGAGGCTCAGAACCAATACGACGTCGACCGCGTGTTGGTGACAACTGAACTCAATAGCACGCTCGCATCAATTGCGTCCAGCCATGACGGCAAGGCTATTGCTTTTACCATTGCTGATCAGGTCTCCGAAAGCACACAATTTCACGGCTTTTCTGATGTGAACCCGTCCGTGCTGAAGGGAGTTATTGAGCAGTCTCGAGTGGTCAAGGATGAGTACGAAGTCGCGTTGCTGAGAAAAGCAAATGATATTTCTGCCAAGGCGCACATTGCAGCTATTAAGGCGTCTCAAACTGCCGTGAACGAGCGTGAAATTGAGGGTGCTTTTATTGCAACTTGTATCGCTAATGGCGCTCGAGAGCAGTCCTATCACCCTATCGTCGCTTGCGGCGAGAATGGTGCCACTCTTCACTATGGGAAGAATGATGATACACTGATCGACCCTGTGACAAATCAAAAGAAACGCAATGTGCTTATTGATGCCGGTGGAGAGTACCGCACCTACTGTGCAGACATCACTCGCGTCATTCCCGTAGGCGGGAAATTCACTGCAGAAACGCGGCAGATCTACGACATTGTCCTGCAAATGCAGACAGAATGTATTGCAATGCTTAAGGAAGGCGTTCAGTGGGAGGATGTGCATGCCCATGCCCACCGTGTTGCAATTCGAGGCCTCCTTAAGCTAGGCATTCTGCGAGGCGCCGAGGACGAGATTTTCGAAAAGAGAGTCAGTGTCGCGTTTTTCCCGCATGGTCTCGGACATTATCTGGGAATGGACACTCATGATACCGGCGGCAACCCAAATTACGCGGATAAGGATACCATGTTCCGGTACCTTCGCGTCAGAGGTCGTTTGCCTGCGGGCTCGGTGATCACCGTCGAGCCAGGCGTAAGTTGGGGTATTTCCATGTTCCCTAGACTGATCCACTGACGCCCGCTGCGACTATAGGTATATTTCTGCCGGTTTATCATTGAACCTTACATCAGGTCCCCCGAGTCAAACAAATACATCGATACCAACGTCCTCGAGCGTTATTGGAGCGTGGGGGGTGTCCGCATTGAAGACAACGTTCTTGTGACCAAGGACGGATACGATAATCTAACCACGGCGCCAAAGGCTGTTGATGAAATAGAGACACTAGCTGTCTCCTAAGCGTTTTGCCTGCAATGATAGTAGTGCTGTTAGTTGGTAGCTGCCACAAGCTCTTCACGAGAACCCATTCTTGTCTCGACATTGTATTGTTTATATTGTACTGAACAGGTAGCTATGGGTAATGTAAAAGAGAAGAAGAAAAGGTGAGTACACTCGAGTCCTTTTTTACACAGATGCAGATACAATCGCCAAAATACTGGACAATAGGTAACGTAGGATATTCGATAGGTCACCTCAAGAGGGGATGCCATCTAGATACCGCTCCTGAGACGTTTCCTACCACTGCCTTTGATGCCCGATTCTGTCTCTGCTCGATCCTGGGCACGCTTCTCTTTTTGGTCAAGAACAAGACTGAGTACATCAAAGCAGAACTCAGGCACTTCAAGACACAGCTTCTTGAACTCATCTTCAGCCTCGTGGCGCAGCACATGGCTTCTGGTGGCCCAGAAGGAGGCAACCGGCTTCCGAATAGTGACATCGTCGACCGGTGTGTGTGTGTAGACATAACGCGCGTACGCGATTTCTCCGTGAGAGGTACTGTTGATACGGTGGATCTTCGAGTGTGCCAGACTCTTGAGCGCAGGCACGCCAAGCTTCTCTGCTAGAGTGTAGACACGCGCATGTTTCAACAATAGCTCACCACTATCATCCAGTTCCCCTACAACGTCTTGCTCCACGGATAGATCGGCGGGGGATGCGGAGTAGTCATGGGTATATTGGAACTGTAGGAAGCAACCGAATGCCTCGACGTTCTCGTCAGGAAGCTCAATACGCCGCTGCATGCCAGATATTGTATTAGTAAAAGCATCCAGAATACTGCTCAGGAAGAAGCTAGCGCGTACCGGACCTGATTCGCTGAATGCGGCGACAGCCTGCGCAAGGAATGGCGATTCCAACAACAAGCTCTGGTGCGCTGTTAACGAAGTCTTGTGCTCGTTCTTCCCGACAACGAGTTCCACAATAGGCGACGTCAGGTAGCTAAGGGATGTGAGCCGTGCGTGCGCCAGCTGGGTTTGCATTGTTGAAGCTTCCCGAAGATATGAGCTTACTCGAGAAAATGAAGGCCCGGCTTCTTCTTGGGAGGTTGCGGCGCTTCTGTTGGTGCTGAACTTGCTGGCTGCGAGTCAGGCAGAGAAATATCCTGTTGTCTCGCATCTGCTTGGAATTCATTCACCGCGCCCTGCTGAGTCTCATTCATATCCACATCGGGAGTCTCAGTGTTTAGGGTGCTCTCAGGAGCCTGAGCGACCTCCGGCGCGCCTACCTGAACTCGGGGGCTATCCATTGGAGCTACTTCATGAAGCGAAGGTAGTAATGACGTTCAAATCAAGAACTGATTATATATGTTAGGGAAGTACAAAGGGCACATATAGTTACACAGTGAGTGTCAATTGACGATAGATGCGCGGTGAGTGGGAAAAGTATTGACAGCTAGATCATGTTCTGGGAGCTCGATTGTACATGTGGATTACCCGTAGGTAAAGCGTACAGAATACCTTTCTACCCCAAGCTTCTATTATTACCTGAGCATGTCAGGACTTCCGTTAGTTTCGCGATGCATTTGTGCTGACCTAACTTCTCCAAATATTAATTAGACATACAGAATAGAGATAATGCACGAGACTTGAGAACTTACTTGAGAACCTTGGTTGACACGCGTTTGACATATGTCTGTTTTACCTCGACCGGCGCGCTGCTGCAACGAACACCTGAGCTACCTTCGGTGGCACGTAGGCAGACGTACTAAAGGCAAATACAGTGATACACGGCGTAGCTACAAAGTCCTTTAACAATAATAGTAATATAGCATAGCTACGAGAAACGACACACTTTATTTGTGAATGATAAAGTATTGAGTGTGTACACATAGGTATGGCATCATCAGATACCTGCCAGCATTACTCTCCAAAGACATCGAGAGGCGAGGAGATCATAGAGAGACAGATTCAAAGATGAAGTTTGCTATCTATTTCTACCCTACCTCATCCTTTTCAATTCCCTCAATCTCTCTATCTTTCCATGGATATTACTGTACGTAACGGGAATACATGAATTTTTTCCACCTTCCGCATGTGGCCGCGTCCGGATATAACCTCCCGTCAAATGTCCACTGTCAGTTGATCGATTCAGGTAAGGTATCCATAAGAACCCAGGGAATCCTTTATGATTGGTGTGCCTCGCTTTCAGCTTCGGCAGCTAAGCTTCTCGCGAAGCTACATCTGCACTGGTTCAAGACCAACATTCATCTCTGACGTTCAAGCCAGGTGGACTTTACGGTTTTCTCTCAGTCAAAGACGTAACATGGCGGCCGTTGTCAACCCCCCCAGGGATCCAAATACCCTGAGCAATTACAATAATTGGGTGTCTACTCATATTACCGCAAATTTCGACATCCTTTTTGATCAGAGGAAGCTTGCTGGAAATGTGATCCATCAGTTCCGTTCTACCACCCATGGCGAGTCCAAACATATCATCCTGGACACCAACCATCTTGATATTGGTGGTGTGAGAGTCAACGGACAGCCATCCGAGTGGGAGTTTCTTCCTCGACTGGAACCATACGGCACCCCTCTGAAAATCAAGCTCGATCAAGGCGTGAAGCTCAATGACACTATTGAGGTCGACGTATGTTGCCGTAATCTCCATTCTTGGGCGATATATGTCCCGGTCTAATGAGTTCTAGATATCCGTCAAGACCACTGAGAAGTGTACTGCTCTTCAGTGGCTGACACCTGCTCAAACATCGAATAAGAAGCACCCTTATATGTGTAAGTCAAATCGCTCCATTGGCGGACTTTTCCTGAAAAAAGATTCAAACGAGCTACGCAAGAATCCTGGATGTAGCACATGAGTCTAGCAGAGGAACGAACAGATGTTGACATGAGCTCTTTTCAGTCTCCCAGTGCCAGGCTATACACGCCCGGTCCATCTTTCCCTGTCAAGATACGCCAGATGTCAAGTGTACGCTGGACTTCAACATCACTTCGCCTCTTCCGGTGATTGCCAGCGGACTCCCCGTTCGAAGCTCGTTTGAGGCTCCGAAGTCCGATGGTAAGACCTTATACAAGTTCCACCAGAAGGTCCCAATCCCAAGTTATCTTTTCGCGTTAGCTAGCGGGTGAGTCATTTCCTCTTCCCACCCCCCAACAACAAAACCCAACTTACTTGTTCCGCTCTTCCTTTACGATTTTGCCACTCGTTGGAACTACTCGGCGAATTTCATCTGACATAAGGCCTTAAGTGATATATCTGAAGCCCCAATCGGACCCCGCAGCGTCGTGGCGACTAGTCCCGACAAGCTCAGCGAATGTCAATGGGAGCTCGAAGCAGATACGGAGAAATTTATCAATGCAATCGAGGTGTGTCTGAATGACCGAACGAAGCTAGATATTTGACTGACTTGCGCACAGAAAATTGTTTACCCTTACGTTTGGGGAGAATATAATGTATTGATTCTGCCCCCGAGTTTTCCATACGGGGGAATGGAAAATCCAATCTTTACATTCGCCACCCCCAGTATTATCTCAAAGGTATTGCATTGACTCTTCATTACTTCGGAGGCGCTTTGACAGTTCTAATCTACTGCGCAGGATCGGGAAAATATCGACGTTATTGCTCACGAGCTTGCGCATAGCTGGAGCGGTAACCTTGTCACCAATGCCTCGTGGGAGCATTTCTGGTTGAATGAAGGCTGGACTACTTACCTGGAGAGGCGGGTAAGTCTCCTTCCTTGGACTTCTAGAAGGTAGACGTATTAATTGTTGCTAACCGCACGAAGATCGTAGCTGCAGTGTGAGTATTCTTCTGCCTAGCGTTCTGGCTCCTCGTCACTAACGGTTGTAGCCACGGCGAGCCTTATCGTCATTTCTCGGCCATCATTGGGTGGAAGGCTCTCACAGACTCTGTAGAGCATTTCGGTCATGAGCATGACTTCACCAAACTTATCACCAACCTGAAGGGCATGGACCCGGATGACGCTTTCTCAAGCATTCCGTACGAAAAGGGATTCAACTTTCTGTTCCACCTAGAGAATCTGGTTGGAAAGAGCAAGTTTGATCTATTCATCCCTCACGTATGTTGACAGGCCTGCCTTGACAAGGACATTCCGCTAACCATGTTCAGTACTTCAATAAATACAAGGGAAAATCACTTGACTCCTATGAATTCAAGAGCACAATCTTGGATTTCTTCAAGGATGATTCGGAAGCCTCGACAGCACTCAACGAGCTTGACTGGGATAGATGGTTCTATGCCCCTGGACTGCCTCCAAAGCCAGATTTCGACACGTCGCTTGTTGATGTTGTCTATGATCTAGCTAAAAAGTGGCTATCTTTGCCTGACTCTTCCTTCAAGCCTCAGCCAGAGGATATCCGAGGCTTGACCGCGAATCAAGTCGTGGTTTTCTTGGAACAGATTCTCGTATCCGAGCGTCAGCTCACCCCTGAATTGTCTAAGCTGATGGGTGAAATATATGGACTTGCCGGGAGCCAGAATATCGAGGTGGCCAACCTGTACTTCCAAGTGGGTCTGCAGGCAGGCGATGCAAGTGTGCTTGAACCGACAGCAGACCTACTCGGCAAGATTGGTCGAATGAAATTTGTCCGACCCTTGTAAGCTATTCCTACAGATGCTGCTTTCGAGCAAGTCGTCCTGAAGCTAACCTTGGGTGCAGGTATCGGAAATTGGCAAAGTTTGACCGTAAGCGCGCAATCGAGACGTTTGAAAAGCATAGGGATTTCTACCATCCTATTTGCCGTGCCATGGTTGAAAAGGACCTTTTCGGTAAGAAAGACGAATAAAGCGAGGTGTAACACTGGTCACTTTACGCATGTTCTCCTTCATCCGGTAATTTCAGTCACTCGACTCAGGAGAGGCACAGAATTTACCTCGAAAACGTCTGGCGAGCGTGACTTTTGCAAAATCAGCATGGCCGTACCTAACTTCTTCGGCCATCAACAGCCGAACTGGTGTTGTGGCAGAACAGCTGAAGAGACAATGGTATGAGTACATCACGACTTTTTATAAAATAGATGATGGAGAACAGTGTATGTTCTTGAGTTAGGAAGAGTGGTTAGTCTTAAGACTCAGGATGTGCATAGTCCTGGTTTGCATTCGAACAAATACACGGAGGTTTGATTTACATGGTCATCGCTTCCCATCGACCAACTGCTTATCCAATTCCGAATAACCAAAGATGCCAGGCTTTCCACCGGGCCTGGGGCCGATATGTAGAATTAGATCGGCCTCGTTGATTTGGGAGAGCTCCGATATAACGCGGCGCATATATGCAACAACCCGTGCTACCTTAGTCCAATCCATATCTTCACCATGCGGCCCGGTGTGGCTTGCCTTCCAGAGATTTCTCCACACAGCAGCCCCTAGCACGGCGTCGCCTTTCACCAGGCCTTCGTCGTACGCAGCAAGGACGCCTCGCCATTGAATAAAAAGATCTTTGAGAAACTTGTTCCGGATAGCGCGACTTGTCAGACCATGAAGAACATCCATGCGATGCTCCGCATTATGTGAGAAGTGGTCTATCAAGTGCCGGGAGTATGTTTGCAGGCTTTCATATGACGGCAAAGCGCGCAGTCGGACGGTGAGAAGGTACATGTGCAGAAAAGTAACCTGCGACCAAGTCGAGAAGGTTGGAACCAATCCCAAATCTGGACGAATTTAAGTCAGCCCCCCGCGGCTGTGATAGAAAACGAGCGCACTAGACTTTCAAGTCCAGTACATACCTTCGTACCACCACCCCTCTCCAACTCCAAGGTCCTCCCCGGCTTCAGTTTTGGGAACTTGAGCCCCTTTCTGGGATAATTGAGGAATGCTGTAGTCGGCTTGACTGGAACAAACCTCAAATAATTTCTGTGTCATGCCGTATGCGACATATGTTTCCGCAGCCGTTCCAGGACGAGGCATTATAGCCCTTGATAATCGTGAAGAGGCCCGCCAATTTGGGACTGAACCCAAAGTCTGCTGGGCCAAACGGGCATTGCGGTTCGGATGGGCCGGAGAGCGCAAGGGCACAAGGCCTGGAGATACACGTTGCGATGCGATAGGCGCAGATATGTATAACGATCGTCGAAGACTTGGGGGCGAAATTACGGGCAGGTTGAGTGCATGCGCCTACAGTTCGTTCCACGGTCAGTCTGGCAATTTTTCAGAGTCGACTTCGGAAAATTGTGCTGCAGCATACTTGAGATTGTGGACACTCCGATTTGCTTAGTGCTCGGACCCAAGTCAGACTCAAACTTTTGGAAGGCATTTTTGATCGAAAAAATCCGGCCAATATAATTCGCTCAATGGCTGGCATATATGCGTCGGGATGAAGCTCGTTCTGAGTAGAGACTGATGATGTGTGGAGCGCGGGAGCTCTGTTTGCACTGTTTGCTCAATATTGACTACCTCACCGACGCAGACAGACCCAATAGAATTTCCCGCCCGCTAGTCTAGATCATTCGTGACTACGATGACATACAAAGCCCGCCTTTGAATTTGTAATCATCAACAGTAAAGACACTTCGCAAGTTGTCTGTTTTGTTGAAGCAGGGGTTCAAGTACCTTTAACTGGTTGTGAGTCTCTCCTGGGAGACAGTGGATGAGCCGTTACTATGGCGGAGGCCGCTCAGAAAGAGGAGTTCGAGGGAGCGCGAAGTGATGTCGATCAACTCAACCATCCTGCCACGGCGGCCAATAGGTAGTTGCACAGGTTCTATAGTGCTTTGTGCTATGCATCCAGAATCACTCTTTCCAAGCGCTTTTCTATGAGGGGGAGAATCTCAGAGAGCCTGTTTGGGTCTCTCATGATTGCCGGTACATCGTCTCTCGTCGTCGCTAGAGACTGTAAAAATATCGTCAATAGGCTGATCTCTCATGGGGACAGATGAGTCATTTAGAGCACAATACCTGGCGGACTGTTTCGTAATCGCATTCCCTAGATTGATATTCTCTAATGGCCTCCTTACTCTCGAAGTCGACGTATAATCTGGTATCTCGAAGCCGGAAGAGTACGTTATCGAGCCTCATGAAAAATCTTGAGAGTAGGAGAAGTCTGTCTGGCATTACGCGAATCTTGCAGGACAGCATAGCAATGCCGTTGTCAGCCAGTTCATCTTCATACAGGATGACCTCATCAAAGAACAGTATCGGATCTGGGCGCTTCAGTAACTCGATAGGTATAGGCTTCGTCGTTGCCTCAAAAGGCCGACTGTCGGGATGGACAGTGCCCATATAATCTGTGGTGTAGGACCAATCAAACGGTTTGACAACGTCTTTGATACCTTCATGGGCTCTCTCCCTGTTTCGTGTTAGGTAGATTAGGGTCGGCCGCACCATACGGAGGTGGCTTACCTGCTCTTCTGCCATTCTTTTGAATGTGCGACTCTGAGCATAGAGGTGCCCGTCTTGTCTACACGATCCAGCGCGTCAAATGCATTGAAAGTAATGCCCCAATCCTTCTTTTCAGATTCGATGGTGATATAGTTATCGCCGAAGATCATTTCCGGTGGCGCAATGCCCAACCTTTTCGTCATCTGCTCAATTGGCTCTGCTTTCAAAATAGGAAGCTTCTGAGTGATTATTCTGAATCCTTTCACCGAAATAACATTGGGCCTCTGAAGCTCTGGCGAAACTGCGGAGGCATTCATAGCAGATGCGGAGCCTGCTGAGGCCATTCTCTTGTTTCTTTCAGGTACCAAAAATTGAAATTTGATTGTTGAACACCTGCAAATCAGCACCTCAGTATCCGCTTACAAGAGGTGTATATTTCTGTCATCCATTTAAACACGCCGCTAAATCGAACGATATATATTCAACTTCGTCGCCAATAATAGATACCCCGCGGTGTCGGAGAAAGAGGCGGTCCGATCCGTTGCTGTGGTGATGTGTCAAAGGAGCATAACTAGATAAACAAGTGGATGGTTGGATGTTCCTCTTCTCTTTCTCACACGACTCCCGACTACTATTTATTATTTGACACTTCGGATCTTTCATTATCAGTTCAATTATGATTGCATAAACCGTTAGGGCTCCTCTGAATCGCACGGTCTTACTTGCTTCTCCTCTTCCCAAAGCAGTTGATAATCTCATCCCAAGATTCTCATGGCTACCAAGGCGCTAGAGGCTCGTTTTGAGCACCTCTCTGTCAAAGATGATGTTGATCCTGGGAAGAATGGCAGCACATACCCAAAGCACAAGGTAAATCTCTTGCCATGGTCTTTGGGGAGAGGGGAACAGCCTGCTAATCCGGCTTGACAGGGCTCTTTGTCGACAGCGGTATCCCTCTCAGGCCTCGGAGCCGCTGGGCAGTTTAACAGTGGCTCAAGTCGGTCAACCTTGTTGAAGCTTGCCTTGCAAAACACAAATGAGAACAAAGTGAATGCGATGCACGCCGGCTCGTCCCCTCTCAAAGGAGCTCAGGGCACGTTGCCGCACCGTGACACAGATGAGAATGGAGAACCGCGACACACAACACCATTATACGAGCAGCCGGGCCCCAAGAAATTACATCTGGGAATGTTTGAGATTGGCAAGCCCTTGGGAAAGGGAAAATTTGGTAGAGTTTACCTGGCCAAAGAGCGATCGTCCGGCTTCGTTTGTGCTCTTAAAGTTCTGCACAAATCCGAGCTGCAGCAGGGCGGAGTGCAGAAGCAAGTTAGACGCGAGATTGAGATACAGAGCAACCTACGTCATCCCAATGTTCTCAGACTTTACGGCCACTTCCATGACAGCAAGCGGATATTCTTGATCCTGGAGTTCGCCGGCCGAGGAGAGTTGTACAAGCACCTCCGAAAGGAGCATCGCTTTCCCGAGTGGAAGGCAGCCCAATATATTGCCCAGATGGCTGCCGCGTTGAAGTACTTGCATAAGAAGCACGTTATGCATCGCGACATCAAACCGGAGAACATACTTGTGGGAATCCACGGGGAAATCAAGATCAGTGACTTTGGGTGGAGTGTCCATGCTCCCAATAACAGAAGGCAGACGATGTGTGGGACGCTGGACTATCTTCCTCCCGAAATGCTCAAGCCCAACTCACAAGACAACTACTACAGCGAAAAGGTTGACTTATGGAGCTTGGGCGTGTTGACTTACGAATTTTTGGTTGGGGAAGCGCCCTTTGAAGACACTCCCGTCATGACGCAAAGACGAATTGCGAGGGCGGATATGACGGTGCCTTCATTTGTCAGTCCTGAGGCAAAGGATCTTATCAAGAGAGTATGCCAATCCTACTGCTCGAGGCGAGTACACTTGCTAACATTCCAACAGTTGCTCGTTCTAGACCCAGACAAGCGTATTTCCCTTGATGAGATCCAGCGACATCCCTGGATCCTTAAACATTGCTTGAAGGATGACCGGGTCACGAAACGGAGTTCTGGTTCTTCAAAGGAAGTTAAAGCATGATGGTTAGACCCATGCATTTCTGGAGTTGCGGTGTTGTACCTCCTTTCCTTGCCAGTCAGTTCATTTCAGCCTGTGTGTATGGAGTTGGAAGGTGCTTTGTGTTCTTTTTTTGTTTTTTTTTTTTTTTTTCCTTCAAGATCTGAACCAACACGGCTCTTAGCTCGGCGTCATCTGGTATCTTCTATTTGTAACCTCCGGAACTTGAGTATAATACATTGCAAAGCGCAGATTTCATGCACAAAATCAGACAGGCAGGGTAGGCTTGACGTATCTTCATAAGAAAACCACAAGTCTCAACGATAAATCTCATCGAAGGGCCTCGTGTCTCTGAAACAGCTGTCCCAAACCTCATTGACCACTTTCTCCGCATGGGCTTCATCCTTGCACCCAGGTCTAGCCCTTACTGACAAGACGGCCCTTCTTCTTACACACTCCTGATGTTGTTGCGTGAACTTCCACTGACCACGTCTGAAGAATTCTCGCGCCCACCTGCACTCACCACTAAGTGAGCTTGCTCGGATCTGCAATAAGTCAGTTAATGCTGGCTTGGGTCTCGCGAGAGAGCTCAATACCTCTGTGCAAGCTGCATGCCTCAGATTATCCGTCCAGTCCACCTTAAATCTTAGGTGGTCATATGCATGGACCATCTCATGTGCCATTGTGTCCTCCAGGTGCCCCTGGTCCTTCATCTCGTTCGCGCAAAGCAAGATGCCATATTCTGGATCAAAGCCCCCAGCCTTTCTGCTAGTACAGCGACGGCAATAGATATTGTGACTGGAAAGATCCCCCCCTAGCTGTCGAATGTTGTCGCTCAAAAACCGTATGATCGGACCTGGACAAGCATATGTTTGTCAGCCAATTTCCATAGAGACCCAGTTCAGTGGAGCTGATGACAAGTGGATAAACATGGACAGCAATTCAGTGGGAAGTAATCATGAAACTTCGAGGAGTTCTGAACTCACTGTACTGTAATAGGTAGTCTCTTTGATCTTCGCAGCGCTTGCAATCTGCGGCTTCATTGCGGATATCTCGTGCGATCCGGAACTGTTCCTTTCCCTCATCCGTCATCTTTCCCGTCAAGATGGCGAATATATTGCGCCATTGGGTCCATGTATCATCTCCAGGTATATATCCACTATCAGACTTGCCGCCGGTAGGAGAAGTTGACCCAGGTTGCGAATCTGACATTTCTCAAGCCAAGTTGCTACTTTCGAAGCTGTATCAGAGATCCGTTATCTACCAGTGGATCTACTTTAGAGCGCGGAAAGAAGAAGATTCGTCAGGGCTCTCCGCATATGCGGTGACGGGCGGCAAAACAAATGGTCCGGAATCGGATTGTTTGAGAGTTTATTAAAGATGAGAAGTGTCATCAGGATTTCAGGCCCAAGAATGATCTGTTGAATTGTTGACTTTCTGGGTCATGGGTGTTCCTAATTGCCTCTGAAAGCCTCCAATAATAGTCGTAACAATGCCGTCGCAGCGTCTCACCATTGTAATAAAACTAGGTGCGGGGATCTGTTTTTTCTCTCATTTCTGGATGATGCTGTATGTTGTTTGAGAATGGCTGACTCACCAGTTGAATAGGGACGAGCTCCATAGTTGATGAGAATACTCATGAGCCCATTCTCTCGATCTTGACCTTAATCGTCGAGACAGCCGCAAAGCTGCATAAGGATGGCCACAATGTAGTCCTCGTTTCTTCTGGAGCTGTTGGCGTTGGTTTGCGGAGGATGGATGTGGGCGAGAGACCGAAATATCTTCCTCGGATACAGGTATAAGCGAACGATTCTCAAATCCGGCAAGGGTAAAGGTTCTGACCGGTTGCATTTTTCAGGCGCTAGCAGCTGTCGGACAATGCAGACTCATGAGCCTGTGGGACGGTTTATTTTCGCACCTTCGACTTCCGGTAGCGCAGATCCTCTTAACCAGGAATGACATTGCGGATGTGAGGACTTATTCACTACAACTGCTGAACCCAAGATATCTAATTTCGGCTTTAGAGAACACAATACATCAATGCTCAAAACACTTTTGCCCAGCTGTTCGATATGGGAGTCATCCCCATCGTTAACGAGAACGATACGCTGGCGGTTTCTGTAAGCATCCCTCTGTTCCTTAAATGATCCATTGATCTGACGAAACTCACAAGGAAATTAAATTCGGTGATAATGACACTTTATCGGCCATAACGGCGGCCATGGTGAAGGCCGATTACCTCTTTTTGATGACAGATGTTGACTGCCTATATACCTCGAACCCACGTCACAACCCGGATGCTAAGCCCATCGAGGTGGTTTCCGACATCTCCTCTCTAGAAGCGGATGTGTCGTCTGCTGGTTCATCTCTCGGAACTGGTGGAATGAGCACAAAGATTGTAGCTGCAAAATTAGCAACCAGTGCTGGAGTGACGACGGTGATTACCAAGAGCTCCAAACCGGGCAATGTTCTGGAGATCGTGAGGTATCTCCAGCAAACGCAACGAGGCATTCCGGCGCAATCTTCAACAGTAGAAGGAGCGCCATTAGAGTCACAATCGCCGCTGTCGCTACCTCTACACACGCGTTTTCTGCCTTCAGACGCGCCAATTCAATCCCGGTCATTCTGGCTGCTGCATGGTCTCAAGCCACATGGAAGTTTGTACATCGACCATGGAGCATATAGCGCTCTTCTAAACAAAGCCAGTCTCCTACCAGCAGGCGTCGTCGGTGTAGACGGCCAATTTGGTCAACAGGAAGCCGTGCGACTGGTTGTTGTTGAGCGGCTCTCGCCCGACTCCCTCAACGGAGACTTCCTCCACCACGGGCAGGAACCCAAGGAGGTTGGCCGCGCACTAGTCAATTACGGTAGCGCTGAGATTGCACGCATTAAGGGTCATAGAAGCACACATATTCAATCCTTGCTGGGATACGCTGATAGCGAATACGTTGCTCTTCGGGAGAATATATCCTTTTTTCGGTCGGACGATTCCCCACGCCAATAGCACCTCGCAACCTTCGAACGATTTCGGCCAATGACAAGGCCTTTTACGCGAAATGGTCTATAAACCGAGTCGACATGGTTCGAATGATTCCTCCTTTTGCACATATCGCCGTGATACCTTTCTGTTTTTACGTTTGAAATTGCATTTTGAGCGACATTCAGCGGCCATCAAGATGAAGTGGACGAATGACGGAGTGTGATTGTGTTTATCAATTCTAGGCTGATTTTATTATAGACCCGAAATAGAAGGATATTCAACAGCGCCAAATTGGCCAATAGGAGGCAGAGCCTCTGGCACCTGTGACTTGGATGTGCTCAAAATGTTATGATATCATGTCTTCTTCGATTTGCTTCGTCAGTCCTTCCATCTTTCCAGTATTCTTTTCATTGCGGCATCGTGGGGATGCGGTGCAGGGGACGCCTAGGGAAAGTGTCTATTAGAAGAAGCACGTTTATTGCAGAGGCCATGCGATAATCCACTTACTGTGTTCTCAACACTGACAACAGAGTACGTTGCAGTTGCAGAGAGCGTAGCTTGCACTGTCGCTGGAGGAAGCCAAGTCGTTGCGATTGTATAGAGACTTGCTGAGAACTGTGGCGCTGGAGCCTTCGTCTTCGCGGGGATAGTGCTCCCGGGTTCCTTGGCCATTGGAGCGTACCTTGTTGGACCGCTCTGCAAAGGGTAGGGTACAGTGTAAGCTGCTTCAACCACTCTCTTTCGTAGATCTTCTTTGACAGCGGATCCTTCAGGATCTGAGAGAGAACGAATCTCTTCCACGAGGTGAGGTGGAAACGACCCGGTCATGTTACTGAGTGTGAAGCGATTTGAGAAATTGATGGCAAAGGCCTCAGGACCAGATGCAACCATCTTCAAGAAACTGCAGGTTATTGAACTGCGTCAGTACGGGACGACAAATGCAGTGGCTTTAAACAAACAAGAAAGGCCAAGGTCTTACTATGCGTTGGCTTCATTGCCTCCGACAGCAGGATCGATCTTGATGGAAACCGAATTCCCACGAGCGAATAGACCGTCTTTGATCAGAACAGCTACTTCATGCTATTTGCCCCTCTTTCCGTTAATGGGAACTATGAACTCTCTGTAATGCCCAGAAACTCACCTGGGTATCAGCCGTATCTCCTCCTGCGTAGAGGTAAAGATCATATTGCGACAGTTCCGAAATTCGTGGAGACTGGCCTGACTCGCGCCAATGTGCTGTAACAACGTCGCCAGCCTTGAAATTCGTGCCAATGGTCGGCACGGTGAAGTCAACATCTGCTAATGTACATGGGAGTAGCAGTAAGATGGAGAGGGACAGTAGAATATTCATATTGAGGGTGTAGCTCTCATTCAGTGCACAATAATCTAAAAGCAGCTGGATAGCTAGAGATCTAAGTAAGGTCTAAATCCACTGAGCAAATCAATAAACAAGAGGCAGACCTCATCCCTGCATGCCGGAGGTATGTGACCATCTATGTGACCCCTTGTAGAGAGGTATATAGTTCTGATACATGCCGGTCTCCTTATCGATAAGTCTCTAATCGATAAGAAACCGTTCATTGCCGAAACCTAACAACTAAGGCATCAAGTCCAATGGAAATGCGGTGGCGCCATGATTACTCAAAAGAACCCGCTGTTGTTGGCAACAAGCTAGAGATCCGACCATTCTGCAATACGCATAGCTCGAAACTTGCTCTATGTCGAGGATGGTGCGCATTTTGACCTGATACTATTCCTCATGATTTTTTAGTGGTTTGATCATTGTTTCCTCAAACAATCATCGTTGATACTATTCCTCTTAAATAAGCATCCATAAGCAGAGATGGCACACCACGGAGACTGGGGTCTGGCTGAGCGGATTTTCACCAGCCTTTTGGACGGTAATCTCGTCGCTATTGTAGTCACAACTCTCATCGCTTTTGGATTGCCCGTTCTGTTGCATTTCATCTTCTACCGGTCCGTTGCGTCTCCGCCATTGAGCAATTTCCTGCTTCTCGGACCTAGCGGCGCAGGAAAAACCGCATTGTTGTCATTGGTAAGATCAGCATTTTCGAAATGGCTTCGCAGTTTCGTGCGAACGCTACTTTCAATCGACAGTCATTGATGTTACTTGATAGCTTGAAAGCAAGACATCTCGATTGTCTAAAGCGACCCAAATCACGCACACTTCTCAAACGTCTACCTCAGCCATCGTCAGCCTCCCTGCCTCAGTGCCGACTGCATCAAATCGCTACCGCTCCGTCAATGATTATTCCGTGAAGGATGTCTCTAGAAATCCTGTTAGATATCGTTTGAAGGATACGCCTGGCCATGGGAAACTACGGGAGGCCCACGGCCTTTCAGAACTGGTGTCAATGGCAACTGCGAAAGACAAGAAATTAAAGCTGCGCGGTGCCATTTTTATGGTAGACACTGCAGCTTTGACAGATGAAGACACGCTGAGAGACACCGCATCCTATTTGCACGATGTTCTTCTCGCTCTTCAGAAACGCGCATTGAAGAAAGGCAAATCTTCCGCCCAGGTAGCATCGGAAATCCCTGTTCTCGTGGCCGCCAACAAACAAGACCTATTCACCGCCTTGCCGCCGGGCTCTGTTCGTGAAAAACTGGAAACCGAAATCGATAGGATCCGGAAATCCAAGAGCAAGGGGCTCATGAATGCCAGCGAGGACACTGGTACAGTTGAGGACGAAGATGATACCTTGGGCAGCATCGATGCGCAGGATACTTTCAGCTTCAAACTACTAGAAGACGAAGTTGGTGTGAAAGTCGACGTCGTTGGCGGAGCTGTAAAAGGCGACGAGGAGGGCAATACTGGAGCCGGTGTGAGGAGATGGGAGGAATGGATTGGACAATGCCTATGAATGCTGGTTCATGAATGTGGGGCTTGACTCTCCCGGCCTCTCTAACAGACTGAAAATCTTTTTGGGAAAGTATATAAGTAGCTGGTGGGCAACCTACGGTCCCTCCAGTGAGATCCACCCGGACGATAGGAGTGCTTCATTTGGCAGGACTATAGAAAGACTCCTCGCAAAAAATTGGGTTATGGGCCATTGTGGCTCTAGATGCCATTGGACGAACCCAAGCCAGCCTCGCTCTGCCAGTTTGAACCTAGAGTCTCTGTCGCTCGGGCATTTATCCAGTCCTAAATAGAGGACAAGTTATGTGAGAAGATTATCGAGTTGACAGTAGCGGAAAGTATCTCAGCACA